CGCAGGCGGGGGCCCCCTGAGGCTGCGGGGTCTGTGGCCGCACCACACTGTTGGCCCCCGGCCCAGGCTGCAGCCGCGCTGGCACCATCTGAGAGCCCCTCTGCCCGCCTTGGGGTGCAGGGACCGGGGGACTGTGAGCTGGGCTGTGGCGGGAGCCAGCCCAGCGGTGACAGCTGCTCCCCTCTGTCAACTCTGCCGGAGGCCGGTGGCTTCAGTCAGTCCAGCACGAGAAACACCGTTCTTCGCTAAGGACTTGTGTGGAATCTTCCCTTTTTGTTTCATTTTGAAATTTCCACACAGACTAAAATACTCAAAAATGCAAACGCTTGTCTTGCTGTAAGATGTGCACACATACATACATACATATAAAAAATGCACAAACACGTTGTACCTGTGGGTTTAGAAGAAGCTGTGTGAGATGGCAACATGCAGCAATTGAAAGCAGAATGTAGGAAAATCGGTGTTTGGAGGCTCGTGTCCTGTTCAGCTCTGTGTGAAGCTGGAAGGACTGCTCCCAGACTGCAAGGTTCTCGCCTTTGGACCTCTTTGGGTCACTTACCTTTATTTGTTTTGGGCAGAAAGCCTTCATATTTGTGTGTGCGTGCGTGCATCACATGCGCTCATATACATATGTGTGTGTATGTATAAAAATAAATCTATAAACTACGTTCTTGTTTATCTGTGTTTCCCTCGTAGATTACTCCTTGACTAGCGCAGACCTGTCTGCCTTGCAGGGGTTTAACTCCCCGGGAATGCTGTCCCTGGGGCAGGTGTCTGCCTGGCAGCAGCACCACCTCGGCCCCGCGGCCCTCAGCTCTCTCGTGTAAGTACGGCCGGCGGCGTCACCGCGCCCAGCGGGAGCCTCTGTGGGCCGAATAATCTGCGCCGGGGAATGTTTAGCACAAGATCGGTTTAGTTTCTGGTCTGGTGGTGGTGGTGCATTGCCCGCCAAGTTTGCTGCTTGGCGGGAAAAGCATTCTTGTTGCACGTTGGTTGTCCCTGTCGTCAGGCTGACGAGCCGTGCCCCTGCAGGCCCAGCTTGGAACAGAGGAGTCGCCTACGCGATTAACCTAAATGTGTGGAAATGGGAAATATTTCCGTTTGCTTTACTTCCATAAATGTGCTCAGACCTTTAATCAATGCTTTTTTCAGCTTTGTTGCTTCACCTCAGTAAGTTGCCTTTATTTACGTTCTCGTTTTGAGGGGGTTGAACCCCAAGACCACGCCGTCGCACAGACAGATGAAAGCTCAGTTTCTTTTCTGTTTTCGTGTTTGCTTATTTCTGCCTTTTGGTTTTCTTTTTCCCAGTACTGGCAGCCAGCTATCTCAGGGTTCAAATTTATCCATTAATACCAACCAAAACATCAACATAAAATCTGAACCAATTTCACCTCCCCGGGACCGTGTAACTCCCTCGGGGTTCCCGCAGCAGCAGCAGCAGCAGCAGCCACAAACACCCGCGCCGCCCCCCGTTCGCGGCAGGAAATGGGCCGCTCTCCTGTGGACAGCCTGAGCAGCTCCAGCAGCTCCTACGACGGCAGCGACCGGGAAGACCCGAGAAGCGATTTCCACTCGCCCATCGTGCTGGGCAGGCCACCCAATTCCGAAGACAGGGAGAGTCCGTCGGTAAAACGAATGAGGATGGACACGTGGGTGACATAAACCTGCAGCGCTGCCTCTTCAGTTTTGTGTTCTCAAAGCGAACTGTCCTGACATATCTAAATTTATAAATAAGGACACGAAATAAGTATATTTATATGTATATACATACATGCATATATATATCGTCACCTGCGTATATATGTGCTCGTGTGTGTAGCATACACAAAATCATCAGGCACTTACGACAAACTCCTTGTGTAGCTGCAGCTGTCCCATGGCAAACCGTAACAGAACAATCCCGTAGGTATTGAGCTAGTCTGGCGCTTACCCGGACTTGGTGTTTTCCTAACGTAACCCGTTTGGCAGAGAACCGTTGTACCCGCGTTGTAATCCCACCACACTAGACCGCAGAAACCGAGAGGGCTCGCCTGTAGTAACGTCCCTGTGTGTTTTATTCAAGCTGTATGGTTACTCGTAGTTAAGAAATAATGCTTTGTAGCAGCAGAGCAGTAGAAAAGCAGGAAGAAGAAAGCAATACTGTACATAAAATGACCTTTATATTACCCAACCTGGCATGGGTCTCTATTGCAGAGGGTGCATGGAGAAGGGCTGATGCTATAAGAAATAAAAAAAACAAAAACAAAAACCCTGTTTTGCACGTGCAAAAAAAATAGTGTATTGGGTCAAAGAGGTGATTTTTTTTTTTTAATGAGTGAAAGAGAGACATAGAGAACTCGCATGAAATATTCAGAAAATATTAGCCTAGAAAATAGAACATTAACAAAAATAAAATTAATATATTAAGTTATAATTGGAATATGTTTGACAAATTTGTTTTTACGTTCATACCTTTGAAAAATATAGAAACGGATTTTAGCTCATGTATATTTTATATTAAAGAAAACAATACCCTAATGAATTGAAGACTATATATAAAGTTATATACAGTACTTTTGAACACATTCTGCTATGAATTATTTATATAAGCCAAAGCTGTATGTTGTAGCTTTTTTGTAGAGTATAGTTTTATCTTTTTTTGACTTTCTAGTTTTTGCTTTCAAAGATGAAAAGGAAAAACTTGCAGGCGGAACCTTGGGGGAAAAATAAGCCATGAACACTTATATGTAAATTTAAATTTGAGCCAAACTCTTTGTGTAAATAGCATCCTAAATATATTATCACCTTTGGTGTAAGTACCTATGTATTGTACGTTCACCAGATTAAAAAGTATATTTTTGTGGATTGACGCCAACTTGAAAAAAGGCGAGGTCCTTATTAAGTAGAGTATTCACTGTTTAATATTTACTATTTTGTTAAATATACTGTACTTTCTTTGGATTTTAATTATTATTAATATTATTATCCAGATTTTTCAGAGGGTGTATAAAGGGGTTGTCCCCCTCACTGGTGGTGAATGTGTGCCGTTAAATTGTAATCTCTGTGCTGTATGGTTAAGCTTCATTATACATTTTATATATATGTATATAAATAGCAAAAGGGCAAAAAAAAAAATCCGGTGTTAAGTTCATCCTGCATAAATATAAAAAAAATCTGTTACAACACATTTTAAGGCATCATTTTAAAGCTGCCTCTTCTGAGGAGGGGAAAAAAAAAAAACAGTGGAAAAACTTGACCTAATTTCTCATGATAGGGAAGTAACACGTATCGGATGAGCACAAAAGGTGTTCTGAGGGGGTAAGTGGTGTAGGACAAAGCCTCAGAAAGAACGTGGCTGTTCCTCTGTGCTGCTTCCAGGAGCTCCAGCGCAGAACCCGGAGCCCCACCGTGTCCTCAGCGCGAGCCCCGGGACGGCGAGGGCCGTGTTGTCCCTCTGGTGCTGCCTGGCCCCGCTCAGACCAGGCCCGCGGAGGGGACAGAAGCCAGGTTTGAGCGGTGAAAAAAGTCTCAGGAGCCAGGAACTGGGCTGGGGCGAGGCGGTGTCCCGGGTCCGGGGAGCTGCGTCTGCCTGGTTGGAACCTGGCCCCTTCCCAGGCCCTGCTGCGTGCGCACGGTGCTCCTCCGTCCTGGGAACCTGGTTATGCAGGTACAGATACACCTGCCTGCTGCCAGGGCAGGTTTGTTACCCAACCTCCTTTAAACTTAATCCGGCATTGGGGTTTTT